GCACCCTGCCACAGAGTTATATTCTCAGCCTTAGTTTATACTTTTTGAGATTGAAATCTTAGTTGGTGTTGGTTTTAAATGACGTGGTACCATTCATCTTTAGTGAGCCCAATACAGCATAGGTTGCTCCACTGTTCTTCAGCTAAAAAGCTTCCTTTAGACCCTAGAATATTTGTGGTGGGTCTGGAAGGGTGGATCTGCAGCAAGACAAGGGCAAGCAAAGCAGCCTTGAAGGGTTAAAAAAGTTGCTTTCACATTAAATTGATCTCCTTGATATTAGTATGTGAATTTCAGAGATGAGGCCTCTTAGTTGAGGAAGAAAGAATTTCTTATACAGGATCTCAGGAACTGGGTAAGTTGTGGTATGAAGGGTTAGAAAACTAGTACAGTAGTTATGGTCCTTCCAGTTAGTCCAAATTGTTCCCAAGCAGGTAGACTGGATGGGAAGAAAATACTCATAAAACTCAGCTACCATCATTTCTTTCTTTGAAGTCATGTTCAGCTAGCGACTCATTAGAAACGAGTTAATCAGTTACCGTTCTATTCTGTTGTCCTGTTTTTGTATCCTGATATAATCTAAGTGCTACTTCTCACAATTATAGCTAAGCTGTAGTTTGTTGGATTCCCGGTACTGGGAAACACACACACACACACACACACACACCCCAAATTTAGGTAGGAAGTATTGTAAAGAGGGTGGTTTTTATTATTTCCCACTATGTCTGCCTATCCAATACCAAAGCTCAGTTCATATAGTCCTTTTCTGTCCCTTGTCTATTCCTTAACATCATGTTTATATACCTCTTAATCCCCTATTAGTGAGAAGAGGGTCTTCATCCTCACCAGTTCTGAGCCAAAGCTGAGCTGCTACCCTCTGTGGGCTTGTCTGTCCCCAGTACACCTGCCAGGAGCTTCAGAAAACAACTAGGTGCTTTACAACTACTATGTGACACGAGGTTTTAAAAAATGATCTCCAAAACATGGTTATTAATGTTTCATTTTATAATTAGCAGTTACAGATTAACCAGCTGCAGTCCTGTGATCACAGAACTAAATTATCTCTGATTTCACTTTGAAACTAAAGTACAATAAGGCATCCATCGCCACCTTATTTTGGATTTTGCAATTCCCATCTGGCCTCTGCCCACACTATGTGCTCTGGCTTCTGAATCATCTTTTTATTTGTGCAGTACAGGACTGCTTTTCCTAAAAAAGATGCCACACAGATAGCTCCCAAGTAGCTTTTCCAGTGCCTGTGTTGTTGGGTTTTTGAATAGGAGCGGTCATCTGTTTTTGTAGGGATGTCCCACTCCTCAATGTCTGCTCAGCCTCCCTGAGGTGTCACCTCACTAGATCTGCTCTAGAAGGGATCTTTTAAAAGGGTTTGTTATTTCCTCATTCAGGTTTAGCAGAGGTAAGTATGTAATAGTGTTGGGGAGGTACTTAAATTTAAAGAAAAACATAGCCCCACCTTTGAATTTTTTGGTATTCTGTGGAGAAGGAAACAAAACCAGATTTAGTGATGTTTCAGAGGCAAACTTTGGGCAGTGAAGTGAGGTTCAAAAGGTTAACAGCATTTTTTTCTTTTTTGGTTTTTTGAGACAGGGTCTCACTATGTAGTTGAGACTGACCTGGTACTATGTAGCTCAGGCTGGTCTCGAACTCACAGCGATCCTCCTGCCTCAGCTTCCCAAGTGCTGGAATTACAGGTGTGCGCCACCACGCCCGGCCAAAGCAACAGCCGTTTTTCTTCTAGGCTTCATTTTTCACAATCTGATATTAAATTACTTATAGGGTTATCCTCATTTTTATCGCTCTTGTCGAACTCACAGCGATCCTCCTGCCTCAGCTTCCCAAGTGCTGGAATTACAGGTGTGCGCCACCACGCCCGGCCAAAGCAACAGCCGTTTTTCTTCTAGGCTTCATTTTTCACAATCTGATATTAAATTACTTATAGGGTTATCCTCATTTTTTTTTCTCCCTGTTAAAAAAAAGTGTCTAAAAGTGTCCCTAATTCCCATGATAGTTAACATATAAAAGGAATGTGACTTAATCATAGGAAGGTGATGTAGTCCCTGTAAGACCGCTATCCCCCATCAGATGCTAGAGCTTGTGAAGTTCACATGGCAGATAGGATGTAAAGTTGGGGAGAACAGTTAGAACCCACAGCCATGAGCTGGAGCCCAGGACAGAGTGAAGTCTTAGTTCTTGTTGCCTTTGACCTTGGTGTGGGTGTCCTGTGGTAACAGACCCTTCATTAAAGATGCTGAAGGAAGACTCAGGAAAAGGCGAAGCAGTGCTGGGCCAAATGTGGATTCTTGACAAGGTGAGCAACAGTATGTGTGATGTACCAAACAGCTGTTGCTTCTGTGGGCCCTTCAAATCTTTCACAAGTTGTGGTTCACTGACTAGAAACAGGAAAGGGACTTCTGAAAAACATAAGGTACTCTCTTTGGAGGGTGGGAACTTCATTTAGTAAAGGGAGTTATAAGAATTTTGAAGTTCGGCTGGTGATTTAGCTCAGTGGTTTTGCTGCCTGCTTTGCAAGTGCAAAGCCCTGAGTTTGATCCCCAGTACAAAAAAAAAAAAATTTTTTTTGAAGTTCACTATTAAAGATGTTGTACATTATATAAATGAACATCAAAGCTTTTATCTGAAAGAGGTATAAAAAAAGATGTCCATATTTTAATTTATTTGCCATTGAACAGTTGTTGACATTTGCCCTAAAAAGTAATCAGGATGGATAGTGAAGTATAGTTAAGTTGCGGCAACTGCACTGTTACGTAAACACTATACTATACAATGTCCTCACACAAAAAAGTATCAGGATCCAAAATGAAGTACAGTCTTCAGTTGAGGCAACTCCATTGTTATGTAAAACTATATAATGTCCACACACAAATCTAGATGGTATAGCCTACTGCACACCTAGGCCATATGGTAAAGTATAGCCAATTTTTCTTTGTTGTTGTTTTTTTTTTTTTTTTTTTTTTTTTTTTTTTTTTTTTTTTTTTTTGGTACCGGGGATTGAACTCTGGTCCTTGCGCTTGCAAGGCAGGCCACCGAACCGCTGAGCTAAATTCCTGGCCCGCCAATTTTTCTTTGGCTACCAAACCTGTACAGCTATAAACAATATCTTTTATATTTATTCAATAATAAACTTTTACTTATTGTAACTTAGCTTAATTTTTGACTTAATAGCTTAAAACACACTGTAAAGTTATATAACATTATGTTCTTTATGTCATTTTTATATACTTTTTTTACATTTTTTCATTTTTACTTTTTTGTTAAAAACTAGGACAAATACACTAGACTACGTCTACACAGGGTCAGGATCATCAATACTGTTTTATAACTAATATTATTACATGTGTAAAACATAGTATAATGGGCATCCGTGCTAAAATGTGTTTTCTTGATTGGGATATATAATAAAAAATTTTTTAAAAAATCATCAACCTAAAACACAAAATGAAACTTGTTCTCTTAAACTTAGGAATAAATTTTAGATGAAGGAAAAGAGTGGCTGAAATTGAAAGACTCAGTGCTTTTCCTATTAATTAGTAATTGATAACCCACACTAAAAACTACTGAAACATCAAGAAACAGGAGAGAAAGGAAGGAAAGAGGCAGAGAGCATAGGATGGAGTGAGAACACCATCTTCATCTGCCTACACCCTCCCCCCCCAGTAATGGTTAGTTCTGACAGAGCCCTGTGGAGCAATTTGAAGGGAAAAAATAGAACAAATGGAGAGCCTGTTAGCATTCTGATGTGGCTGTTTAGCACTGGATCTCTTAAAGGAAAAAAGACAACTAGTTCTACAGTTAGAGCTGCAGAATTTAGGAAAATGAAAGCTGTGTAAGAGGCTAGACTCAGAAGCCAAAGCTCCAGGGTGGCTGGAGATGACTGCATAGGTGAGGAGCAGCCTGTCCTCTTTGCTGCCCCCAAGTTTGAGGCCATGTGGTTTTATCCAGACCTTTTCCAGGGAGTGACACCACACATCAGCTAAGTCTGCCCCATCCTGGAAGAGTCACACTGGAATGTAGCCTATAGGCAGTGAGAGAGGGAGGATAATGACTCAAATTGGGTCAGATCTCTAAGGCCCAGCATGAACCAGATTAAGATTTTACAATTGTCCACACAGTGTGACTGGAAAGAACAGACTCTGCGATCACTTATAATAAAAAAGAAATACCAATGAGGAAACACTGACGAACCTTGAGTGCTTTATGCTAAGTGAAAGAAGCCAATCACAAAGTACATGAAGTGTATACAAATACTGTATGATTCCACTGATGAGAAACATGAGTAGTCAACAGAGACAGAAAGGAGAATGTGGACAGAGGCAGGGGACAGTAGCGAGCTGTTATGTAGAGTTTCAGTTTCAGAGGATGGAAAATGTAAGATATGGTGGTGATGGTTGTATAATGTGAATATGCTCAATACCATTGAACTGTAAGTTTCAAAATGATTAAGCTGCTAAATTTTGTCTTTCAACAATATGAATAAGGAAAACAAATCACTGAAGTTAGAAAAAAGTTGTTGAAGCAGTCAATATGCAAAATGAACTCAATGTTTTTAAAAAAAGGAATTAAAAACCTGTTTTAAAAATAAGGGCTGGGGATGTAGCTTAGTGGTAGAGCACTGCCTAGCATACAAGAAGCTCTGGCTTCAATCCTAGGACCAGGAAAAAAGAAATCAAGAGATGAATACACAGGGCCAGGGATTTAGCTGTGGTTCCACCGCCTGCCTTGCAAGTGCAAGGACCCAAGTTTGATCCCCAGTACCAAATTAAAAACCTGTTTTAAAAATAAGGGCTGGGGATGTAGCTTAGTGGTAGAGCACTGCCTAGCATACAAGAAGCTCTGGCTTCAATCCTAGGACCAGGAAAAAAGAAATCAAGAGATGAATACACAGGGCCAGGGATTTAGCTGTGGTTCCACCGCCTGCCTTGCAAGTGCAAGGACCCAAGTTTGATCCCCAGTACCAAAAAAAAGTTGGAGAGCCTGCCACACAGCTCTCCTGCTCTCTATGCCTTGATCTTCCAGACCCCCTCTTACTGACTGAGGGGGTCTCTTCTTTTGTTCACCTTTGCCCAGTCCTCTTATTCATAATAGATGAATGAAAAGTCCCAGAAGCCAGTTCTATTTGGGAAAGTTTTCTTTTGTTCTAGGCTTCGATGGTTAATATGCTTGACAAACTTCAGAGTCTCTCTATCTCTGTAGACCAATGCCAAAGAATTGTTTTCTGGATTCACTATTAGCAGCTGAAAAAGGCAAATACAATTACACATCACAACACAGAGCTCATTCTCAACTCTTCAATGAGTTACTACAGAACATTTTCCATAGCAAGTATTTAAGATGGGGATAAGGAATCTTTTGAAAGAGCTTTCATTAGGAAATAAACTTTCTTCTGGGTTTCAAGACATTTTCCAACAAGCTCCATTCTATCAGCAAATACTTAGAAAGGTTATATCTAATGCATTTATTTCTGATGACAGATGATTTGTGGGAATGCATTCACAAGCCTCTTAATTTGTAATTTCTCAGTTAGGTAAAATAAATGCTCAGTAATATCCTTTAGCATCTGTATTCCATACTATTTCTTATAGAAATTACAGCCACTGCCAGGCATTACAACATAGACTAATAAGCTAAAGACCCTGGCAGAGGTTATAGAAATTGGGTCTCTGAAGAACAAAAGCCTTCTCATGAGCTAAAAAGTAGTGTTTGTGTAACATCTTACCTCTTCATCTTCACCTTTGGCAATATAGGAAGTAAAGCCACCATACTCTGGCTCCCAACCTACCAAGAGAAAAAAAACAGCACTCAGCTCTTGCCACAAGAGTTACATCACTCACTGAGAAGCAAGGGTTCTGGGATTCAGCAGTGACCAGCTCTATAACTTGGGAGCTTACCATCTGTTACCACGGAGTCTGTTTCTCCTAAAGGCCTAATTTCTCATACATGAACTGAAATTCGATCTTGCTTCAATTGATATTGAGTGAGAAAACTGAGATTTAAATGTTAAAGATACTCAGAAACACAATTACATGAAAGCTATGGGTGGGAGAAGATGGCCGGAGGAAGAATTGGGTACAGTCTATCTCCCATTCCTAGGTCAGAAATAAATACTTGAGCTGTGAGACTGAAATTCATGACACTCAACATCCATGAACTCATGAACTGTGAGATCCTGTGATAAGAGATCCTGGCTACAGAAAAATCACTTCTGAGTTCATTGAATTGGAGAGGGTCACTCAGGAAAGACTGCTCCTCTAAGCGAATATTTTACTGCTTTTTGTCCTTCTTACCTTCACAGCCACAGTAAAGAACTAAGTCCAGGGCAAATTCAGTCTGGCTGTTGTCATGGATTAAAGTGTAGTGACCAGTCCTCCAACGCCTCAGTTCCCCCTGGCAGGTGGGAACACTCGACTCTAAAAAAAAAAAACAAAACAAAACAACAGAAGAGAAACTAGTAAGTTTTTTTTGGTAGTGGGGATCAAACTCGGACCCTTGCACTTGTGAAGCAGGCAGGGGAACCACTGAGCTAAATCCCTGGCCCGCCAGTAAGTTTGAAGATAACTCTGATACAAATGCTAGAGGGTGAAGAAATGGGAATTAGCAATGATATGGTACTAGGTGAAACAGTAAGCCTTTCGTTTCTACCATCCAGTTTTATAAATGATTGTTCGAAGTTATCAGGTCTATATGAGGGGAAAAATAATTAGATTGCAATTTCTCTGTAATTTTTTTTTCTTTTTGGTACCAGCGATCCAACTTGGGACCTTGCGCTTGAAAGGCAAGTGGCAGAACCACTGAACTAAATCCCCAGCCCCGCTGTAATAATTTTTAAGTGACTGCAAAATAAACAAGTAAAAATTTAAAACTTCAGTATTATTTAATCTTAAGGAAAGAGATTCCTCAGCATGAGAAATCTGAAAGCAGAAACCATGGAAGGCAGATATAGATGTTTATAACAGCGTTTTTGTAAAGTTTATAGGTGGGGAACACTTGTCTAGCATGCATGAGACCCTTGGCTTGATCCCTCGCACTCCCTACCAAAAGAAAAGCTAAATCATGTGGAACAAAATTACAAAGAAAACTATTAAAATACACAGGACAGAGCTAACAGTCCCATAAGTAACATTTTTTATAATAGGTAAGAAAATGACAAAAAGCCCAAATGAAAGAAACTCAAAATACCCAATAAATGTAAATTTATAGCCTACACCATTAATCAATGAAAGGCAAGTGACATTTTCATCCACAGAGTAATCAGAGTTGGAAAAGAAACACAATAATAATTACTTTGCCAGAAAGGATAGAATCATATATAATGCTGGTGGGAAGGCAGATTGATAGAAATGTTAGGGGAGCCAATTTGATAACTGCTTTAAGATTCTGGGCAATCTACAGGCATGGTGGCCCACATCTATGATCCTAGCACTCTAAAAGCCTGAGGCAGAAGGATAACAAGTTTAAGCCCACTCTACAATTTAGTGACTTAGTGATATCCTGTCTCAAAATAAAATCCCAAGTACTGAAAAACAAAACTAAAAACATGCAGTTTTTGACATTGTACTTTCCCTTCTCCCACCCAAGTACTAACCAGCCAGAACCTGCTTAGCTTCAGAGATCAGCTCCATTAACACAAGCAGTTCTAAAAAGCTGTTCTAAGAAACAATGATGGCAAAGAACTGAAAAGAATCCAAACACCCAACATGGGGCTAGTTATGGTCATCTGCTGAGATATTTTGCAGTCAATAAAAATGATCAAAATGGCTTAAAAAATGATTAGCTGTGAAACAGAGTCTTGAAATATAGTGACAAAAATGCAATATTGGACATCAAATACAGATATGTAGAGCTGCTCTGGGGGAGGCAAGGGCTTCCTAGAGTGTGCAAATCTATAGTATAAAGGATGGAAAATGTTTAAGTGAGAAAAGATTACACAAAAATATATAAAGCCTAATCCCATTATAAATACATGTGTATATATGTTTCCTGAATCATGTGCTCCCGTTCAGTCATTCCTTAACACGTAACCCTAATACAATGGCATGTATATTTTCTTGTTGCCTGTGTATACATTTACATTTCCCACTAGAATGTAAGCTCCAGGAAAGCAACGACTTTGTTTTGCTTTCCAACTCCTGAAATATGAGGCTTAGCACAATAGTAGATACTCAATATTTGTTGAATGAATGAATGTTTGTACAGTGAATGGTTAAAGGTAAATAAGGACAGATCCTAACACCAGCTTACTTTTCTTTGCTGCTTCTTTCCCTGGCGCTGAGTCTATCTGTTCACTGCTCTGTTGGCTGTTGTCAATGATGGCTGCCTGATTATTCTCTGAGGAGCTATGGCTAGTCCCCTCTTCAGTGCTACCAGCAGTCCCACAGGCTGCTTCTCCTTCTGTCTTGTCCTTGATTTCATCTTCTTCTGAAGGGGCCAAGAAATGAAGCTTCAGGCCTGTGAAGTTGGAAAGCAGCAAGAACAATGCCTCCGAGCGAAACAACTCCATGCAGTTCTTCAGTGTATCAGGGAGCTGACTCTCTTCAGCTTTCTCGTAAAACCTGAAAAGCAGCAATGCCAAGTTCATCAAGCCCTCATGTAAAACTGCTCATGGAATAAATGCTGATCATTAGCTTTGACCTGTCTTCCCAAGTCTTGGCACAGCCTACTAAAGAAGTTTCTCATAATGGTGAGATTTGGTGGGGTATGCTATTGGATACCCCCTGGAACGAAACATCATTACAGCAAATGCCCTATTACTGGAAGTGAGCTGTGCAGACAAAAAGATAGCTGAATGCAGATGCAGATGTCTCATATGATGGGTTCTACCTTTTGTTAGGGGGACCACGGCTGTTCCATTCCACATCTCCTTTCTCCAATGCCTCACAGACCTTTGCAAACTTCTCAGGCTGGAAAACAAGCAAATAAAGAAGCAGTGATTTTTCTTATGATCTCTGGCAGTATGGCAGCTTTGCAAACAATCAGTCTGATTCCTAAAACGTCTGTATAACACTCACCTCCTTTACACAACATCAGCTACTGTGAAGTTAGGGCCCACATTGAATACACTGTCATCCTGCTTTAGCTAGGAGACCTGAGCACCAATGTGAGCATTCCTTTAGGCAGTTGCATATCTTTAGCCTCTAATTCTTAGATTTATAAAAATCAGGATCCTAATACAGACTTTTTCACTCATAGGCTATTGTGAGAAACAAAAAGTAACTGCATTAAAGTCAGTGTGATTACAAAGAAAATCGCTGTATAATATACAGATTCTCTTGGCCTTAGCTCATTCCCTTATTTAATGAATTTTCTAAATTCAAAAAGTTGAGTTGTAATACAAAAGCTGGTTAATCTATTGCAACATTATCCACAAGAGGTTTTACATGTATTTGTTTAATACAATTTCCTAGCAGCTCCTATTAGCTGTAAACATGTAAAAGGGAGAGAAAAACAAAACAAAACCAAACCTCATAGCATCAATTAAGTAAGCTCAATTAAATTACTAGTTAAGTTATTTACTGGAACACTCCTCAAATTCTGTAATATGCTATATGTCAGCTATAAAATTCCAAGGAAGAAAGCTAGCACATAGACTCTCTCCACCTCCTTTCATGAAGGAACAGCTCTTGGGAATGTGATTCCACTGGACCCATGGGCAACTGTGAAGCGCCAATGATCTCACAATAGCCCTCACAAAATTCTGCAAGAAAAGCAAGGCAGGTATTATACTAATATAACTGATGATAAAATAAATACCCAGAGAAATGCAGTGATTTACTCAGGTTATGAATATAGGTCTTCTGACTTCAGGTCTCTTTCCATTAACTTCTTAAATTTCCACATCACTGCCTAACATTCATTAATAGATGATGACTGCTGGGTGCAGTGATGCACATCTATAACCTCAGCTACTCTGGAGGCAGAGGCAGGAGGATTGCAAGTTTGAGCCCAGTTGGAGCAACTCAGTATGACTCTGTCTCAAAATAAAAAGAGCTGGGGATGCAGCTCAGTGCTAGAGCACTTATCTAGTATTTTTGACATAATCTTCAATAGTGTAAAAAATAAAGTAAGTTTTAAAAAAATGATGTTGATCAACTACAATTAAATGATATCTTTTTTTTTTTTTTTTTTTTACTGGGGATTGAATGTGGGACCTTGTGAGGCGTCAGTGGAACCACTGAGCTAAATCCCCAGCCCAATAATATCTACTGTTAAAAATAAAAATAAGCGCCAGGTGTGGTGGTGCACACCTGTAATCCCAGCACTAGGGAGGCTGAGGAAGGAGGATCGCTGTGAGTTCAAGACCAGCCTGGGCTACATAGTGAGTTCCAGGTCAATCTCAACTACGTAGTGAAACCTGTCTCAAAAAACTAAAAAAAATAAAAAAATAAGCACCATACTTGTTAAAGGAATAGAAAGGGAATGAGGTAACAACTCCCTTTCAGGGTGGAACCTTTTATAGGCCTGTGTATACTGCCTGATAAGGTTTTAGAAAAGTTGGACACAATGGCGTATAACGACCTGTAATCCCAGCTACTGGGGGAGCTGAGGCAAGAGGATCACAAGTTCAAGGCCAGCCTGGACATCCTAGCAAGACCTTGTCTCAGAATAAAATTTTAAAAACAGTTGAGTATGTAACTCACTGGTACAGGGCTTGCCTAGCATGTGCAAGGCTCTAGGTTCAAATCCCTGATACCACAAAAAACAAAAGAATGGTTCTAGATTAACAGGAATATCCAAGAGTCTTAATCTACTAAGCATAAAACTAATACCAATATGTACTATTACCATTTCTGTATCTTGAGGAAAAAAAATGATATAAATATTAGAGCCATGAAGAAAAAACAACTCTTAGTGATGTCTATACATCCATTCAGGATGACTGCCTGCTGAGCAAGATATGCTGACCTACCTTAAGAAATTCCTTCAAGAGAATTTCAGACCTTTCTTCAAACTCTTCTTGAATTTGAGCTTGATATTCCATGTCCAGATAAGAAGCGTTGATCCACTCATACAAAATTTCATGCTTACAAAGAAGCAGCAGGTACAAAAGACGAGTTAATAATTCCTATGGCTTTTGTTCTTACATCACTTCACACTATTAAAATACATGTAAATCCTCACTGTATAAGTTTTTTCTTTTCTTTTTTGGTATTGGGGATCGAACTTGGGACCTTGTGCTTACAAAGTAGGTGGCAGAACCACTGAGCTAACCCAGCCCAAGTTCTTCCTATTAAGCATAAAGTATTGGAAAACTGCCTGAAAAACATCACAAGTTTAAGAAAAATGGAAGGTGCAAGCTCAAAGTCTAGTTTCTTTTTCAGGAAGACCTAATTTTAAAATCAGAAAACGAAATGCTGTAACTTCTAAAATAATGATCCCAATAATTTATCCATACATCTTGCGGGATGTGAGGGTTCCGGGGTATGAGGGGCTCAATGTAGGTGGTCGGCCTGGTCAGCGAAGGACCATGAAACCAGCCACTGATAGATATACGTGACTTTTCTTCAGAAAGGACTTCAGACACCTGCAAGAACGAGAGCAGCAGCACATCAACACAAGGGAAGAGGAAGATCCTTCAAGCTAGGTATGAAAACAACCTGGTCAGTTAACAAGTCCAATAGGAAGCTGTCACATTTGGATAATGAGTGACTACAAAGTGTGGTCCTTAGTACTTGTATACCCATATATTTGTGGCTTACAATCTTTACCTGGTGAAAGGATACTGGAGACACTTCAAAGAAAACCAGTTTGTTCCATGAAGGGACAAGAGACTTGACAATCTGCTTCGGCTGAAAGTGTTCTGCACCAGGAGAGAACACATCCATAAACATGGTTCAGTATCATTAACCACTTCCAGGACACCTCATTTCACTCTTGACAACTCTCACATTTCTGAGGTTAGGTGGAAGTACCCATCAGAGTCTAAAAGACCACCCCTTCCACCTGTTTCATCCATACTTGCTTGTTCTGCTAGGTGGTACATTCTTGTTTGTTTGTTTGTTTTTGTTTTTTGAGACAGGGTTTCACTATGTAGTTGAGACTGACCTGGAACTCACAATGTAGTCCAGGCTGGTCTCAAACTCACAGCAATCCTCCTTCCTCAGCCTTCCGAGTGCTGGGATTACAGGCACACGCCATCACACCCGGCTAGGTGATGTATTCTTACCACATCATCCATTTATAATTGATGAGGGCTGAAAGTTTCCTGGTGTCAACCTGTGGTGTCAGTCATTAAAAGAAAAAAACCCTAATTTCCTGTCAAACAGACTGGTCCTGGCAGATTCATATCCACAGGCATCTCTGAGGGCTTCCTATCCTCCCACACTCAATAGAAGCAGGGTCTACTTTTCACCTTAAATTGATTTTAATTTATCTCTGGAGTAATAATTATTTTCAGTAAACTTTAACAGGTGGCTGTCAGGGCTGGCATTAATTCCTCTTGAGGTAGCCACTGTAAGTAACATCTCCTTTGAAGTGATACTGAGTCAACTTGGTTTTAATTCAGGAAGGATCACTGGGGGTAATGAGCATGCACCCATCTTACCATCAGTGTTGTACAGGTCCAGTGTGCCCCCCAAGCTCCTGTCCCAGGGAGGAACCAGGTACAGAATGAAAGCGATCCGGCGCCCTTCCAGCTCATCATCATGGCAGAGCAGGGCATCTACAAAAGTTTTTAATGCACATCTTAGATGCCTACATAAACAATAAGCAGCTGCACAGATAAATCTACACAGTCACTAATTATATATATTTTTACCTATAGAGGTATATTTACTTTTTTGGTTTTGAGACAAAGTCTCATTACGTAGTTCAGGCTGGCTGGCTTTGAACTCACTATGTAGCCCAAGCTGGCCTGGAAATCTTGGACATCCTCATGCCTCGGCCTCCCGACTGCTGGGATTACAGGTATGCACCACCAGGCCTAGCAGTGTATTCCCTTTTTAAAAAAAGGTATCCTGGGCTGGGGATTTAGCTCAGTGTGCCACCACCTGCCTCACAAGTCCAAGGTCCTGAGTTTGATCCCTGGTACCAAAAATAAATGAATAAAGGTATCCTAATGTGATTTTTGCAGTCTGCATTTTTTATTATGACTAACGCCTTTCCATATCAATATACACGTTTAATTCAATCCCTTGTATACACACACACACACACACACACACCACTTTTAATGGCAGAAGTTATGTTACTATGTGAATTGTAAATTTACCTTCTTCCTTAACTGGTTTCCTATTTTTAATTAAGTTGTTTTTGGCTATTACAAAGAATGCTTTAATAAATATTGTTACACATGTATCTTTTCATCCTTGTTCCTATTAACTGTTTAAGTTAAATTTCTAAAACCATATGGTGGGACTGAGCAAGGTAGACATCTATGTGGGGAGGGAAAGGGAGAGAAGAGCACAGTGAACTGAAACCATTTACACAAAGCAATTGTGCCAGTAGAGAAACATACTGAAGATAATGGGATTCTAGTCTCTCACTGTTGAAGAAGAAGAAAAAAAAAAAAGAAGAAATACGGAAAATGAGAAATCTGTAATGAACCCTACACTATTTTTTTGAGACAAGGTCTTGCTTTGTAGTGCAGTCTGGCTTGTAGCCCGGGCTGGCCTTGAATTCGTGATCTTCCTGTCTCAGTGGTACCACCATGCTCTGTTGTGCGGTTTGTATAATTGGAACTGGAGGAATCAATGTGAATTCAATTTCCTAGAGAGATATAGCAATACATATAAGTGTATGTGTATGTATCCAGATGTATATGTGTATTCACACAAGATTTGTGGTAAAAGAGTCTGGGCCCAGTGAAACCCCAATGGTAAAGATACCTAGAATCCAGCTCTCGATTGTTAAATATCATTCTTCACCAAAAGGAACCAGAGTTCTTAGGAAGAATGGCTGACTAGGTTATTCTTGGACTTGGGAAGGAAAACGTAAGTCTAAACATTCTTGTTTTACAAAAAGTAAGAAGTAAAATAATGGGGACATAGCATAATGATATAGAAGTCAGTTTGAACTTGCCTTCCCTGATCAAATCTAGGACAATATAAATACCAATAACAGAACTATTGGGCCAGGGATTTAGCTGGGTGGAGCCACAGCCTGCCTCACAAACACAAGGTCCCAAGTTCGATCCCTGGTAACAAAACAAAAACAGAACTATTATAGTAGGGTGCAGGGGTACATGCCTATAATCCCAGCTACTCAGGGCGCTCAGGTAGGAGAACAGCAAATTTAATGTAGCCTCCTCAACGTAGTGAGATCCTGTCTCAAATTGAAAAAAAAAAAAACTGGGTAGAAAAGCTAAGTGGTGGAACACTTGCTTAGCATGTGCAAAACCCTGGTACCGGTAAAAACAAAAACAAAAAAAACCCAAACCCAACAACAAAATGCTCCAAACAGTCTATTACATGAAGAGTAATCTATAAATCCATACCAATATAAATAAGTGAATGAATAATGGGGAGAAAAATGACAACCAATAAATGTAGAATAACTGTATTATAAAATCACTATTGGGCACCCTCTATTGCAGTAGCTTAGCAAGAAACATCAGTGGATATTAAAATAAGTGAATTAAAGTTTGATAAGAAATGGGAGGGGCGGGGCTTTAGCTCAGTGGCACTGTGCCTGCCTCGCAAGCGCAAGGTCCTGAGTTTGATCCCCAGTACCAAAAAAAAGGGATAATTATAAAACCTTAAAGTATCTCCTTACAAAATACACAGTGATGGTGGGAAAAAGAACAGCGGGAAAACCTGATATCAGCCAACACTTTCAGTAACTGACATTACCATCATTAATAATATGACATACACCCCAACTGTACCACCTAGTAGGACAGAGTGAAAAGAACACAGAATTTATTTCCAGTGAAGAACCATGGCTTGAATCTAATCATGAGGAAGCATCAGACAAATTTAGACTGGGTCTGAAATAATGTGCCTGTAAACTCTCAGAAACACCAAGATTGCGGAAGCCCATAAAGGACTGAAAAACTGTTCTGGGCTGAGGCAGAAAGACATGACAAATAAAGGAGCAACCCTGGACTGGATTCCTTTGCTACTGAAACAATATTAAATATGAACGGGACCTGTGGACTAAATCGAATAATGCATAGATATTAATTTCCTGATTTTGATGACTTATTACTTTCAAGTAAAAGAATAAACATTACAGAAACTTCTGAAATAAAATAGTATTGAGAAACATTATGACTGCAACCTACTTTTAGGTAAAATAGGAAACATTATTTGTACTGGGCTTGCTGCTTTTTTTTGTTTGAAATTACTTCAAAGTAACAAAGTAAAGATATATTCCATGGCTTTTCATATGTATCACTTAGTTATCTCCACAAAAGTTGTTATCAATTCTGTTTCCCCAGGACACTAGATAAGAGGAAACCTAAATCAAAATTAAACTGATTGACTGATGGATTGAGAGAGGGTCTCACCATGTAGTTCAGGCTAGCTTTGAATTCACTATGTAGCCCAGGCTGGCTTCGAATTCATAGCAATTCTCCTGCCTCAGCCTCCAGAGTGTTGGGTTTACAGGTGTGTGCTATCAAATGTGAATGCGGCCACAACTTTATTTAGTTAAAACAAAACAAAAATAAAACCAAAAAAAATTCCCCAAACTTGTATTCAAAAGTATAATCATGTGCTCTGAAAGGAACTACAAGGATGAGCCCCAAACTGGTTACAAACAGAGAGGTGACAGGGACTAAGGCAGTTATACAGAATACTTTTATAGTGCTTGAACTTATTCCCTTAAGTATATATTCACATTACTTTTAAAACAAAAAAGAGAAGGAAAATGGCGCTGAGATGGTTGTTTCTTAGGAAGGCTGTGAACACAATTTATCATCTTTGGGGCTGGGGATTTAGTTCAGTGGTTCTTCCACCTGCCTCGCAAGTATGAGGACCCGAGTTCGACCCCCATTACCAAAAGAACAACAACAACAACAACAACAACAAAAAAAAACCAAATAAAAAATTTATTATCTCTGAATTTCTTGCCTTTGTATGCAAGGTTAGTATGTATGTGCATTATGAGCATTTTTCTCAAAATATGGTCAATAGCTTTCATCTCTTCCAATAAGGTGGCTAAGTCTGTGAGCTGTGTCTCACCCATGCAGGAACATTAAGACTAGTATTTTGGAGCATTGATGCTGTCTTTCCATCACTGTGGAGTGAAAGCCGTTAAATCTTACAGACAATTCTGTCTTCCTTACCAGTGAATTCATACTTAGCACAGGACATATCAATGGTTGGTTCCAGGTCTATGTTAGAAATGTCAGAAAGCCAGGCCCGGAAATTTTCAAACAGAAGTTTCCTAGAAGTGTAAACAAAAGATGACTTGTTAAGCCATAGTGTGGGCTCTATCTGGATCTATGACACAACTATTTTCTTAGAGGTCACATTTTATTGAAGAGATCCATGCTCAGATTTCACTCCAAAGGTCCTGAGAAATGTTTCCCAGTTTTAACTTGCACAATTTAAGACCAGTAAATGTAAATCCCTAGCTACTGCAGCAATATTTTTGCTCTCAAGGCTCATTTATTTCATTTTCTCAGTATTTTTTTCCTTCTAAATTTAAAGTTTATCCTACCACAGTAGCATTTTGGCTTTATCCTAACAACTTATCATGCCATTGTTCCATTCCAAATTACTGATTTTTCAGACATGTTTCTGAGCAGGAAAATGGAAAACTCAAGTGTTTTTCTTTATACCAAACGTGTTTTTTCTCCCATACTGATTGCTCTGAAGCTAACTGGATATTCTATAATTCAGTTCAATTCTGACATCATCAGCAAGGGGCATGTAAGGGCTTGGTTCATTAGGTCTACCCCTCAACTTCAGACACCAACCTCAAGTCTAGGTTACGATCTGTATATCAGATGTTCCCACAAAACCGTGAAGTTTGGTCATTTTCTGGACAGTTTACATTCTACATGGGATAGCCAAAGGGAAGATATTCATGGGAAAATATTGGGAAAAGGCATAATAGCTTCCCAGTACCTCCAAGTTTTCAGCAAACTGAATTCCCCTTGGTTAGGGATTTTTATGGAGTCTTCATTATGCAGGCATGATTGAACAAACCACTCACTATTAGTGATTAACACAATTAACTACCACCCTCTCTTTTCCTTCAAACATTGTAGTAGTGGGGCTGAATGTTTCAACCTTCTACTCACATATTTTGATTCCCTGGTAAACAGCCCCAGAGTCCAAATCTTTGGGGCTTTTCAAAATCACCTCATTAATATAAACTCAAGTTTAGTAGAAGAGGGTTCGTTTTAACAAAAGATGTTTTGTTTGCCTTTACTGCTCTGATAATTCCAAAGGTTTTAGGAGCTTGGTGCCAGGAATGGAGACTAAAATCAAACATATTTCCTATTATAAATTGCAATATCAGAAGCACTCACTTAGCAGCACCATTTAGTGAACACTTGGATGATATTGTTACAGAAGGTCAAAAAGATTTCAAACTGCAGAAACAGTGAGTACTAAATTGTACAGTAATCAGTAAAATCTTTCATAGAAGTGCTAACGGGATACCAAGAAAAAGATTGTAAGCTTTTCCATTTATCAGCTGAAGTAGTAAAAATCTGTGTAGAAATTGCTTTAACACAATTCATACTTCACTCAGGCAAAGAACTTTGAAATTAACTTTCATGAATGACAAAAATTTCAAAGGATTTATATTAATTTAAATCATGTACATCAAGATATTTGATTGGTATTTTTTGATCATCTTGGTCCAAATCTATATAATTGAAATTCCTCCCAAATGCAACTGTGCTGTTCATAATTAAATATCAAGTCTTCCGGGAGATCCATGAAATTTCATTATCAAATACTTTATATTAGACACTATTCAAAATAGTCCATAAAATACTACACTTGGTTAGTACAACCAGAAGTGTTCTGTAACTTTTAAAGGCAGAGCTACAAGTTATTTAGAATGAACCGAGAGAGCAAGCTGCTGAATCAGGCTTCAGACAATGTGGGTGATAAAACATTTCTGCAAAATCTTGCTATTTTAAACAACTAATATCATAAAAGGCTCTTATTAGTAGCTTTAACCCTTCCCCCCAAATTTATTCCATGAAAGGTTCTTCTGCCCTTACTATGAATGTGCCAGGAACAGGTTTATTTTCTGACACTATTACCACTTTTTAATTTCATTCATGAGATGATTCTCACGGCAACCCAAATGGCAGATAAAAACACAAAGATTGGCTTTCTGTAATGACCAATGAATTCTGGCTCTTACACTATCTGGATGTGACCATTTGGGTAGAGAATGTAACTCGGTCCCAGATGAAATAATCATCAGAGGCTGTTGTGAACCAAAGAGATAATGCCTTAAAGCAAGACTATCTCTCTGAGGGAAAAAAGTCTAAATTAATTTGAAATATTATGTGTTATAATTAAGATATAAGCAATACTTTAGGATTTAGAAGAAATAACCTGTGCAGGCTGCCAGCATGTATTAAAGAATCTCAGAGCTAAAAAATAATTTAAAAACACAAACCAAAAAATAACTCCTTCCAGATAGACAAGAAACAGCTATTATAAATCAACATATATTTACTACAGAAAAACTAGGAAAAAATCCTACAGATGTAAAAAGAAACCATTTTTAAAAAACCCTGTAATCCCACTAGTCAAACATTCCATTTTTCCAAGTCTTTATTATGTACACACAGACATATATTGGGGTATCTGTGCATACATATTCTTTTCTTAAATAGGGTTATATTGCGTTTGTGTACTTTTTTTCTCTTGATAAAAGTGTATTACAATGAATTTAAGAAAGCGTTAATTGTAAGAATGATTTCTTGGTATATGCCTAAGAAAAAAGTCATTTAAATTAGGACAAAACAGTGATTGTGTGAGACACTGGATCACACAAATGTCAAAATATGGGAAAAAAAGAACTATTTTTGAATTGATGAAAGAAGAGTATAAGTATCAAATTTAAGCATTTAAATTCATATAATTTTTTAATGGCTATATAGTTTCCACTTTATGTTTTATACCATTATCTATATAAATCTCCACAGATGGCTATTTGAATTTATATATAATTTTGCTCCATATGAGCATTACAACAATTTCATGGAATCCCTGAGTACATTGTTAATTATTGTCAAATAATTATTTATTATCAAATAATTAATTTATTGTCAAAATAAATTTTTATAAGTAGAATTACTTTACAAAAAAGATATACATACTTTTAGGGGTTTTATACATCTTTCCAAACCATCTTCTATAAAAGGCTGCAACAGTGTACTATATAAAGGAATCCACAACCCTGTCAACACTGATGTGTTTTACCCCCTGGTATTTCCCTACTTAACAATGTGAAAAATAGTATCTCCATTGTTACTCTTTTGTTTCCTTGATTACTAACAAAGTCAAACATTTTATCTTAAGAATTTGGGCCTTAAAATCAGACAGACTTGGGTTTACATCCAAGCTCCCTCAATTTTAAACTGGGTAGTTTTAAAAAAGCTACTTAATTTCTCAGTCTGTTTCCTCTTGTACAAAACGTCAGCAAAACTATATGACATATATTTAAAGTATTTACCACTATACCTAACACATATTTGACAACCAACAAATACGATTGTTTGCTTACCGTAAAGCTGTGATATGAGGCTCTTTTCTCTTCTTCAAATCATCAGACTTGATCATGAAAAAAAAGAAAACAAGAATTTCTTTATTACTATACATTAGGCACAAAGAGCAGAGTAGACTAATGAGGTCTCTGGCAGTATAGCATTGTGGGTAAGAGCCTGGACTCTGAAGCCAAACTGCCTCACTTTGGTATATGGCCTTTCCACCTGGCAGATTTGACTTAGGCAAGTAACTTGATCTTTATGTACTCACTCATTCAGAAAATACTCTAGTTATTACAGAGAATTATGTTTATTGGGGGAGATAATAAACATAAAAGTAGATTGTTAGCATAAAGGTGGTAATTGCAAAGGAAAAAAACACAAGGAAAGAGAAGTGAGGTAGTGCTGAGAGTGGGGTGGGGTTTGTAATCATAGAGAGGGACACCACGATAGGCTTCAGTTAGGTAAAACAAAGCTTATTCCAGATATTTGGGGGGCTTCATGGCTAAGTCCACAAACGTTAAATGCAAAAAATCTTAACACTTCAAAATGAAATCCTGTATCCACTAGAAGTTATTGTTCAGCTTCTGGTAACATGTAAACTGCTGTCTGTGTACATATATTTGCCTATTCTGGATGCTACATATAAATGAAATCATATAATATACAGGCTTTTGTATCTAGTTTCTTTGACTTAGCAAAAGTTTTTCAAAGTTCATCCATCTTGCAGAAGTAGATTCCTTTCTATAGCTAAGTAGTACTTTATTGTATCAAGGTAAACTCCACCGTGTTTATGCATTTATCAGTTGATGGGACATTTGGGTTTTTCTACTTTTTGGTTATTATAAGTACTTCTGTTACGAACCCTTGTGAAATTGCTCCTTTTGAAAAAAATTCTGTGAACAAGTTTTTATGTGAGCATGTGTTTTTCAATTCTCTTGGGTTTTACATTTTAAAAGAATACAATGATTATTATTGTGTAAGCAAGTGAGCACAGAAGACTAGTTAATACACAGATAAGACTAATTCTAGGGCCGGGGATTTAGCTCAGTGGTTCAGTGGCCTGGGCCACTTTGCAAGTAAAGTGAACATTTGTCTCTAGGAAGGATATAGAAGGTCAAATGCTGTTAGAAAGAAAAGGGATGTAGGTGAGGTCTGAAGGGGCAGGAGACTGAGAACAGGATTTATATTTACTGTCTTAGAGTAAAGAGATCCTGTCCGACTGTGATCAGGCAGTGAGCAGGATAAAAATTATTCACAGCAGAGCCCATGTAGGTTTAAAGGAATAGCTTTCCCCGTCTTTCATCCAAGGCCCTTTTTATTATTTTTCCTCTCACCGATTTCAATCAATGAGATATTTTCATTTGTCAAATTGCATCATGTAAAAAACCACTCCGATATCTTAATTTGGTAATCAGAGATGTATATACCTCTAAATCAACAAGAGGCCTGCTGTTATATCCAAAGTGGATATAATTATAAAGATAGACAACTGTGGTTTTTTCATTAACTTGAGCAACCTTACTATGAATTGAAGTTTAACTTTATTTGATTTACTGAATTAAGAGTCTCGTCATACATGCACTTAGCCTGGTTAATTCCATCATATGTATGAGGTCCGAAGACAAGATTGGGGTAGGATAAGTCAGCTGGCCACATGATCAATAATGAGTAAGATAAAGGAGTAAGAGAGTGGGAGGGGTAGGGGAAAGGAATGAAGGGAAAAGAAAAAATATGAGAAAAGGAGAAAAATAGAAACAAAGTCTTTAGAAACAGGGAAGGGTAGAGGCTTCGGGTGAAGGGAGGGCAGGGGAATGGGGAAAAATAAGAAAGATGCATCATGTAAAAGTACAAGATCTCAATGATGAATTTTACCATATTGCATACCTAAAATGTGCCAATAAACTTAATGGAAAAAAACGAATAAGAGAAATGCAGCATATATCCTCTTATCCTAGATAAAGTCAAAGGGAAAATGCAAACAAAACAATTCTTCATCTTTATGTTTTGAAATTTTAAATCCTGAGGTCACTGAGGTTTTTCTAAAGGATTTTTCATCTGTCTCGTGTAGCAAGCGATATTCCTTGAACTGGGGAAACCAGTTAAGTTATATTTTTTATAGACTGGACTATGTCTTCTAAGAGTAGGAAAAAATAGTCCCGATTTCAAGATGTCTTTTTAGCCAAATTAAATTGTTCACCAAAAAAATAATAGATTTAACTTTGATGGATAACTGCAATTCAGAATACACTGTAACACATCAAGCCATTTAAAGACACGAACTCAAAATTTTAAATGGTTCTGATCTTCCCATGTATGAGTCTCTTCTTACCAATCCTCAAAACCTATTACATTCCTTTGTAACATACTTATATACTGGTTTAAAGTGTTTCTTAACTCTGTCACCATCAAATTCACACCCATTAGTTCAGATTTTTAAAGTCAGAGAGCAGGAACTCTCAAAATCTCTTGTAATAATGAAAGCACCTAACACAGTCAACACTCAGTCTATCTCTGTTAAATGAAGGAGTGCTTTTTACAAGACCAAGGTGAGAACCGTCCATGGAAAACCCAATCTAAAACCTCATCTTTTTTTTTTTACTTATGAATTTGAGTTTTTAATTACCCAATAACAAAGATGTGTATGCTACATACAAATAATATTCACATATGATCTCCTTGACCACCAGCCAATTTCAAAGATGATCTAGAATGTAGTTAGAATCTGTTCAGTACATACGCAATTATTGCATGGCTGTGCAAAGAAGTGGAGTTTATGTACATGTAGGTAGGTAGGTGACTGTAGATGGCCTGGACTGCTTTTATATTAGTGAAGTGTGTTTGTTGATAAATAGCTGTGTAACAGATTCCAACTCTTTCCTGATTCCTTATTTTACTAGATTTTGGCATTTAATAATAAAATGTTCATTTAAGGTGTAGAAACATGAGTCTTATTGTCTGCATATAATTTTTATATTGTTGCATAAGACTACAATGGATCATCTAAATTTCACTGGGAATGACTAACTTATAAAGGTGGTTTTAAAAATATTAAATTAAAAAAATCTTTCTTAGGGCAATACCCACTTGTTTGTAAAACCTCAAGTCTTGAAGGTACTGAAAAATTTTATAGATAATAAGTTTCTGAGGTAGAAGAACAAATATGATAGAGAAATAAATACCTGCTGGAACTTATATAAATCATTATACTTTTCATGGTAGTCCAAGTTCAAAAGCTCCCTGTGAAGTCCTTCCAAGAAGTCTTGGCTTTGGATGAAGTCTGGGATCACACAGTGAAGAAAGGGGTCCATGTCCATGACAATGGCTTCTGTTGGGAGGAAAACATTATCTACGACTTCCTTCCCTTTTGTATTTTTGACCACCAAGTAACATAGCAGAGAGAACACAAAAGGGGACGGTGTTGAATTTTGGGAACTTAACACCTAAGGTCTAAGATTTGGGGGAAGAAGTATAAGCTCTCCCCTTTCTTTATCATGTTCTTTTAAATAGAGTATGCTTAAGATACTAGTTGAGTACAGATGATGCTACTAAATCAATATTCTTGCTTTTTTTAGTTTTTCAGAGTAATGATTATTGAACTGAATATATGATTCTTATTTTTCCTCAAACTAAAATAAGAATAACAAATTAAATGAGAGTAACAATACTGGCTGGCACAGTCTTTTCATTTTACCTTTTCTTTTTCCAAGTTACTAGGGGAAAGTTACTAAACACTTTTTTAAAAATTAGTTCAGCATAAGATCATCTAATTCCTTGATTTGTATTCCAACACTGTACCCATTACCTCTAGGCAGGCTAGATTACTGCTTCTCTAACACAACCAGATGGATGGCTCAGTGGTGCTTTACATGCATTATCTCATTTAGATATCTCAACAGTCCTGGAGTAGGTATTATTATATACTGTACCACCCATCTTACAGATGAGGAAATTAAGAACTGTGAGTCTCCACAGCTTGCACTTTAAAACACTAAGCTCTGCATCCAGAGCACCCAGAATTTGGCTATTCAAAGTACTTAACTGAAAAAAAAGGGGGAGGGGGGACTTTGGAAGAAAATGTGGAACACATTATGCAGTTCTTATTCTATGAAGTGACAACTTGAAGCTGAGGCTGGAATCCTTTGACGAACGTTCCTTCCCTTGGTCACTACACGTTAAGTCATACAGTGGAACTATAGGTATGTCAAAACGAGTCAGCTCAAGTGCTCGCTCTGTCAGCTCACAACAAATGCTCTGGCTAAATTATCACGGGAGAACTGAGCAACAGCCTAGCGGAAAAATCACGTAAGGTTCTCAGTATTTGTCTAAATGTTTATTTTTCCTTACTCATTGACGCCTACATGGTTTAGCCTGTTAATCCCATCCAACACCTTCTGAGATAAACAATATTAATTATCCCACTTTATAAAAGAAGCAACTGAAGCTTCAAAATGTTAAATCCATTGCCAATGACCCACAATCAATGAAGATTCTAACTCAGGGATTTCCGATTACAGGATTCAACCAGTAATTTTGATGCCCTCAACTTCCCGACACTCGCCGGCCTACGTTTCTTTTTCTTCCAAGTTTTTCAACTGAAATTGAATGTGGAAAAAAAAGGGAGGAGCAGGCGAGGCAGAGCGGTCGGAAGTGGCTAAAGTCTTCCAAACACCTCTCCTCCACGGCCCAGCCGCCCAGGGCTGTCTCGCGTCCTCTGACTTTTAAGGGGCTTCCAGATCCCTGCGCAACGTCTCCTCCCTCACAGGACCCGGTTACCATGACTGAATGGCGTCCTATTAATCCAGGCTTCGGCCACCTGCTTTTTCAAGGTTTTCTCTGTGACAGCGTCCGAAAACTCCGCCATCACCTCCTTCTTTCCCCTCTTGCTCACTCGGGCCGGGCCAGGCTCCGCGGGTCGCTTCCCATTCATCTTGCAAGGTATAGAACCAAGCCCCACGAATGAAGACGCCACTTGCCGCCCGAAACTACCATTCCCAGAATGCCGCCTTTCTCGTGTTCACTAATGCTACCCAATAGAAAGTGCCATAATATGACAAGGCGGAACCTGTACCTGATTTACCAATGGGAGCTCCAGATACTGAGGGCTATCCTACCAACGATTGGTCCAAAGACGTTTGACCTGGAAGGCCTCTACCTTTGTACTTCCTGCCGCCGGAGGGTCCAGATTCACTTCCGGCGTACGTACGCCTCCTATTGCTCTTTCTTGTTAATGGCGGGCGGTATCTGCTAAGCGGGACGCAGATAACCGCTGCCCAACGGGGAAAGTCTCCCCTGTCTCCGGCTTTCTGCTTGCTTTCAGGGCCTGAGCTCGCCAGCATGTCTGTTGTACCGCCCAATCGCTCGCAGACGGGCTGGCCGCGGGGAGTCAACCAGTTCGGCAACAAGTACATCCAGCAGACCAAGCCCCTCACCCTGGAGCGCACCATCAACCTGTGAGTGTGGCGTGGCCTTCGCGGGCATCCTCTCCTTGTGAACGTCTGCAAAAGGCGCTTTTTCTTCCTGCTCGCCTCCCTACCCGCCGAACGTCCTCCTATCCCAAGAATTTAGAGTCCACCTTGAAGAGCTTTCCCTTTTTGAAATAAAACGTGTTCCCATTCCCCTGTATTCAGTCATTATGGGTAACACCGAAATTGCTTTTGAATTTCTTTTCCCCATCTCTCCAGAGGTAACCAACTTAAAAATGTGTTTTTAAAAATTCTTTGCATTTATTATTTAGGCTTTCAAATCACGTGTATGATTCTTCTTTGTATGTTTTTATTTGAAATGAATGGTATAACTCATTTTTACACTCTACCTTTCTGTAACAGCAAACTCTCGAGATCTACCTATAATTCATGTCTATATTTTTTCCTTTAAGCTCTGTCTAATAGTAGCCTGCTTCATACATGCCCCATGTTTTGTTCATCTACTCAGGGCTTCCTGGCCTGCAGTATGCGTTTACATGTCCGGCTCCCGCTAGATCCTGTCTTGGCAGCATGGACACTGGCTTGGTGGTCATGCACACTGAAGGGAAGCAGAATGTTGCCTCAGAGAAACATTGTGGCCTGTGTTTTATTTTCGACACAACTTTTTCTTTAAGCAAACGATTGCTTTGCTTTTGGGGGGAGTGGTTGGAGACAGGATCTCCCTGTGTAGTTCAGGCTTACTAGTGATCCTCTTGCCTCAGCCTCCTGAGTGCTGGAATTACAGGCGTACATCACCTGCCTGGCTGCAAACCATTGCATTTCAAAGTCAACCTCAAAGGTAACTTCACTGTAGCAAGTAATTGGTATTTGAGCTGTGTCTCCTGAAAAATTGTCACCATCTTTTTATTTCTGAGTTTGTGAGGCAGTGTGGTATATGAATTTCACCCTCAAAACCAAAAATAGTTTGAAATTGTAAAGATATTTATTATTGCGTTTAAAATTTTTTTTTTTGCCTAACAGGTGCTACCTTGGAACTTAGGTAGTAAAATGCTAGGTTTTATAAAATCTGAAATGAGTTGATGGCTATGTTTTTAAAATTAATTTGTGTAACTTTTGTTAACTTATATAGTAGCACCTTAATTTCATATCGTTTTTTAATGTACTCTCATAAGATACCCATGAAATGGAAAAGACTTTTTTTTTTAAGTGTGAAAGCACAACTTCTGGGTTACATTCAGTGATCTGAACTAGAGTCCACACTTTTGTATGTGCATTGATTATTTGCTTTGATTGTTATTAGTTCAGTGTGGAATCATGGAAAAACTGGTGAAATTGTTGTGCTTTCAGAAAGATGTTTTAGTCTTTGCTACATTAATATGGATTGATTTATAGTACTTTTCCTCTTGAATGTAGTGTTGACAGATAATCACTGTGAACTTAAAGTTGATCAGTACTGGTGGGTACTGATCAGTTAAATTGAAAACAAATCTCTTTTCCTCAATGTAATTCTGTTAGGATATACTGCATAAACGCCTACTTGGTACCAGGCATTGTGCATAATGTTGGGTATACATACAGTGTGGAGAGCCAGGGATTTAGCTCAGTGATGCTGCCACCTGCTTCACATGTGCAAGGTCCTGAGTTCAATCCCTGGTACCCAAAAAAAAAAAAAAAAAAAAAAAAAAAAAAAAAAAAAAAAAAGAAAATGTACAGTGGTGAGCAAGTAAGATGTAGCCCTTGCTTTGTGTTACATATGGAATGCTAATAGATATTCTGGGCTTACTGATGTGGGAGCTGCCTTTTTCAATGTGGATATGTTGTGCAACCTCAATTCTTTCTAATTCAAGTTGAGAGAACTAAATTTTTTTTTTTTTTTTGGTTTCTTTCTCTGTGGTTGGTATCTGTTGTAGTACGTTATGATCTTCAGTTCTCGCGCTAGACATTTGTCTTTGGATCACAGGTACCCTCTTACCAATTATACTTTTGGTACAAAAGAACCACTCTATGAAAAGGACAGCTCTGTTGCCGCCAGATTTCAGCGCATGAGGGAGGAATTTGATAAAATTGGAATGAGGAGGACTGTAGAAGGGGTTCTGATTGTACATGAGCACCGGCTTCCCCATGTGTTACTCCTACAACTGGGAACAACTTTCTTCAAATTGTAAGTGTTGTTGGAAATTAACTTTTAATGAAACAAAGCTTTTGTACATTGGGACGAGAGAGAACTTTTGTGGGGGAATGGGATAAAATATATTTCCAAAAGGAAATTAACTTTTTTAAAAAAATTGAGTTTATTGATACTTTTTAAGACTTTTGTGGGGGAATGGGATAAAATAAAATATATTTCCAAAAGGAAATTAACTTTTTTAAAAAAATTGAGTTTATTGATACTTTTTAGAGACATAGTAGAGTTGCATTCATCATTAGGATCTTGTATCTTTACATGACAGATCTTGGTTTTCATTTTTTCCCCATACCCCTGTCCTCCCTAGAAATTAACTTTTAATGGGGTAACAATGAGATTTATGCAGCTTTGGCATACAATTGTAGTCCTTAGTCATTTATTTCAACAAACTTTTCTATTAATGGAGTGTTTAGAAAGAAAAAGTTATCAGTATTTTCTTCAGTGCAGTATTCATTTATTTTCCTAACTAAAGATCTTATATATCTGTATATTGTTGATGTTATTGATTGAGCTTGGTAGAAAAAAGTATCATGGTAGCATTACTAAGACCAATTGATAGTGCTTCTTCCTTAGGATGATGTATAGTTTAGCTTTATCTTGTGAACTCATAAAACTTTATTATATGGTTGGTCCCCAACTGTTTGATCAGAGTATACCACAAAAAAAGATCTTAAAAACTTAGATTGAAATTCTTGAAAAATGTCTTATTCTTTAGATCTAAAGAATGTAGTCTGAACCAAAAAAAAAAAAAAAAAAAAACCAAATAAAAAATAGCTGGGCGTGGTGGCACACCCCTATAATCCCAGCTCTCGGGAGGCTGAGGCAGGAGGATCACTGTGAGTTTGAGACCAGCCTGGACTACATAGTGAGTCACAGGTCAGTCTCAACTACATAGTGAGACCCTGTCTCAAAAAAACCAAAAAACAAACAAACAAAAAAAGAAAGAATGTAGTCTGTTCAGAAAGGAAATTGTAATGGATTGGTGGCAAGCATTTATTTGTTATGTGTCTGCTGTATTATATATTTTTTCTGTTTAAAACTAGGGTTTTATACTGTTAGCCTGGTCAACTTTACACCACCCATTTTTCCTCTGCCATTGGTATTTGTTAGCCCATTTGAGTGCTTTATCATTTAGTGAAATATGTCTTTAGTTGCTTGATAGAAATATTAATATGTTCTTCTTATTATCCCAAATTGTATTAAGTTGAAAGCTGAAATTCTTAACCTTTACACAGACCTGGTGGTGAACTTAACCCAGGAGAAGATGAAGTTGAAGGACTAAAACGCTTGATGACAGAGGTATTTTTCTATTTAGTCATTTTGACAGTTTTATTGACCATCTAAACACCACCGCTTTTGTTGTCTGGGGAAAGGATAAGTTTATTTTGTATATTTTCTTTTAATCTGTACAACTGAAACCCAAGTGTTAGTATAATGTTTATAAATACTTAATTTGTCTTAACATTTTAAAAATGGAAATGTTGATGTAACAGTAATGGTAGATTTAAAAAAAAGTATGGATTGAGTACTGTGCTAGATACTGTTTTAAGTTCTTTATATGCAGTAATTCCATTAATCGTCATAGCAGTTCTGGGAAGTAGGTATTATTATGAATTCCATTTTACGGGTAAGGAAATTGGAGCATGGGTTTAAATAACTTGATGTTATAACAACTAGTGTGAAGCTGGAGATTTGAATCCTAGCAGTTTTGTTACAAAGTAGGCCTCTGTAAAATCTTGAGTAAGAGATAGATTTCTAAATCTTTGTTCTCATTTTTGTACATATCTTATAGATTATGCCAAATTGTACTACTTTTAAAAAATTAAAAAAAAATGGTAACGTCTGTCTCTGAAGAATTGGAGCTAGAAGCCTAGATACTTGAGGCATTTGAGATTGTAGAGTTTCCATTAACAATTTTTAATTTTTAACGTTCAGTCTCTCCCTTAATTGCAAAATTAATAATACTCTCTATAGGAATCATGGCACACAGAAAAAGAAAAAACAAAACTCAAAAAACCTGTAAGCCTTTAATCCCAGCACTCAGGACTGCTGAGACAGGAGGATTGCTGTGAGTTTGAGACCAGCCTGGACTACATAGTGAGTTCCAGGTCAGTCTCAACTACGTAGTGAGACTCTCTCAAAAAAACAAAAAAACAAAAAAAAACCCTGTAATTCCTCCTCTATTGACAACTTGGCACAAGGTCCCAAGTTTGATCCCCAGTACCCCCTGCCAAAAAAAAAAAAAAAACAAACATATGGTGGGATGTTCATAGGTGGTAGATCAAACCCTCTACTTTGTCTCTTCTGAAAACCCACCAGAGAAGCACAAAAAGGGTTTCTTTAAAAAGATAAATACAGCCAGGCATGGTGGCACGTGTCTGTATTCCCAGCATTTGGTAGGCTGAGGCAGGAAGATCATAAGTTTGAGGCCAGTCTGGCTTAAATAGTGAGATCAAGGCCAGCCTGAACTATACAGTGAGACCTATCTCAAAAAAAAAAAAAAAAAAAAAAAAAAAAAAACAGAAAGAAGGAAAGATAAATATTCGCTGGAGGATTGCCATGAGTCCGAGGCTACATAGTGAGTTCAAAGCCAGTTTAACTGTATAGTGACACTCTGTTTAAAAAAAAAAAAATCCAGTAAGATTGAGGGATTGAGTGCAAAGTGAGTCAAAAGGAAAAAATGGGGGAAGCTAAAAAGCAGATGGGCAAATCATAAATGACTGTTTAGTTACTTTTCTTGTCATTGAAACAGAATACCTGAAAGTCACAAGTTAAAAGAAGCAAAGTTTATTTCACCTTACAGTTTGTAGAGGTTTTAGTCCATAGTTGGCTGGCTCTAAGGCAGGATGGCACACAGAGAGGCATCACAGAGGAGAAACAGTCCATGGCAGAGCAGGTAGGAGACAGCAAAGCAGCAAGCAAGCAGAAGCTGCTCCCTTTTATCCCCTCTGGGCTGTCTACCTTGTTGCTTGTTGCTGCCTTCTGCCAACCACTCTGTGGACCCAAGAAGAGTATTCATAAGTACAAATGCTTAGGTCACTACTTGTGTTACTTCTTTTAACAGATACTGGGTCGCCAGGATGGAGTCTTGCAAGACTGGGTCATTGATGACTGCATTGGTAACTGGTGGAGGCCAAATTTTGAGCCTCCGCAGGTCAGTGTGCAACTACAGTTTTTGGGCATTTGGGCAAACAAAATTGATTTAATTCTTGACATTTAAAAAATGATCAAGTAAAGTTTATTTAAAGTGCTTTTACAAATAGAGACTCTCTAACATAATGACTTGAAATTTCCCTTTCTCCCCTCCTTAATTTAGAAAGAATTACAAAGTCAAACATTTTTTTTTTTCTTGTTAAGGGACGATTTCAAAAATATGCAATAGTAGAGAGAATAAATAATAAATGAATCCAGTAACCTGTCATCCAACTGTATAGTTAGCAATTCATGGTCAAGTGTCAGGTATATTTCATAAGCTTTCTGCCATATAGTACTCCATCTCCATGACCCTTACTTTGTATTATTTTGAAGCAAATCTTAGATTTCATATCATTTTCACAGTAAATATTTCAGGGCTGGGGTATAGCTCAGTGGTAGGGCACTTTATTAAAATGCTCCAGGCCTGGGTTTGATCCTGGCACTGAAAAAAATCAATTTAAAATATTTTAGTTAAGGATTTTTTTTTTTTAGTACATGGTTGCAATGCATAATGATTACATTCAGTTTGGGGGCTTAACAGATACACACAGAATTTTGATCATCTTTATTCTCTCCCCCTTCCCATTTTTATTAAATATAAATAATTTAAATATAACCACATACTATTATACTAAAATAAATAACTTCCTAACATTAAATATGTCATTTTTTTCACATTTTCTGATTATTTTTGTTATTACATTTGCATTAAGGTAGTGTTTTTTTTTTAAAATATATCTGCAGGTTGGCTCTTTTTTCTTTGTCTTTTTACTATGTATTACTGTTTTCAAATATCCTGAATTTTTTGTTTTCATATTTATTTGAATTAGGATAGTCTTTTTGTATCTACAGGTTTGTTACCTCTTTTTTTCTCTTACTTGTTAATGAAAGGCTATTTGAAGTCGCTAGTGTTTTCACTGCTAATTGTCTTCTGTTGTAACTGAACATGTAGCTTGACGTCCTGTATGTCCTGTAAATTGATGATTAGCATAAGAGATTGGTTTAGAGTTTAACAGGATTAGGATGTGTGGGAGTGCAAACGAGACTTGTCATGGATAGCATGTTATTTATTGGTGTATAACACATTACAGGTTGAAATCCCTACTCTAGACATCTGAAATCTAGGATCCTGTGGTTGATACTACCAGGCACATGCTTGAATCCCAGCTTCTTATTGGGCTGAGGCAGGAAGACCACAAGTTTGAAGCCAGTCTGGACAATTTAGGGAGATTCTGTCTCAAAACAGAATAACAAGGGCCGGGGATTTAGCTCAGTGATTCCACCGCCTGCCTTGGAAGTGCAAGGTTCTGAGTTTGATCCCTGGTACCTCCCCGGCCCCCAAAAAAGGAGAGTGGGGTAGGGGTAGAGCTCATTAGTAGAATATTTGCTTAGCATGTGTAAAGCCATGAATTCAATCCCCAGTACCACCAGCAGTTTTGAACTTTAAAATTTTGGATTTTTTAATTAAATGTGCTTAACTTGGTAACATCTATGCAAATTTTCTAAAATCTGAACAGTTTGGAAGTCTGAAATGCTTTTGGTCCCAAGCATTTCCCATAAGGAATACTCTCTCACCTGTACTTAAAAATTTAACATTCTAAAGCCACGTATTTATCTTATTTCAATTTCCCAGGGTCAGGCATCTGGAAACTACTCTGTAGGTTTATTTTAGCTTAGGATCTCTTGTGAAGTTAGTCACAGGGTCATCTGGGACTGCACTAAAACTCTGAACTGGGGCTAGGTTCTGATCCCCAGTTCACATGTATTTGTTAGCAGACCTCTCAGTGCCTTCTAAGCTATTGGTCTGAAGCCTTCAGTTTTTGCTGATACAAGACTTCCCTCAGTTTCTTGTCATGAGAACATTACCACAGGATAACTCCTGGCAAGGCAGCTGGCCTTACCCGGTGTATGTAATTCAACATTAGTAGGAAGCTACAATCTCTTATAACCTAGTCTAGGCAGTGGCAGACCATCCCTTCTGATGTTCAGTATTGGTCATAGCCTAGTACATGGTGGGAGAGGACCCCACAAAGGTGTGAATGCCAGGAGATGAAGATCACTAGCGGTCACCGTAGAAGCTGGCTTCCACAGAGGTTGATGTGTCTTTCTATCAGGAATTTTAAAATACCTGGTTGTTTTCTCTTTTAATGTTTGACCTATGAGTTTACTAGGGTTGAGATCCTTTTATAGAGAAACTTCTCTCAACTACTTGGTTAACCTGACAGGTACAGTAATTTTGTAAAGAATAGATGCTCCTTTACTTACCAGTTTTCAAAAGAAGCCTTTCAGGGACTTTGCAGGGTTTGGAGAAGTTTGGAGGCTGAAAAGCAGGGAACTTTTCAGTCTTCAGAATACAACTGCTATGATATCTGAGGGAGAATGATGTGCTGTGATGTGGAACATGGAAAAATGTGTTTCATAAAGTGTCAGTATGACCTCATGAAATTAAGTATATTTTGATATACTTTAGTCCACGGTGTGGTTCAGGCAGGCCTTGAACTTACTGTGTAGCCCAGGCTGATCTTGAACTCACAGTGATTCTCCTGCTTCATCCTCCCAAGTGCTGGGATTATAGGTGTGAGCTACCACACCTGGCTAGATTTTCTTGCTTTGTTTGTGAGGAAACATTTTAAAGTTGGATAATAAATCCTTTTAATAGATCTGTGATGGTGAACTTTTAGAGATTTAAGTGACAAACTACAACCCAAAACATACCTGCTTTATGGCAAAGTACCAGCACTAATTAAACCTGAATGCTCTACTGAGGTTTTATTTTAGAAATGATAACTCATTAGAAGAAAAACACAGTAACAAATTTCAGTGATACAAACAGATTTCAGGGCTGCCACTGTGATAGATCAAAAGTCCTACAGTTTTGGTTAGGTATCTGAGGCGAAAGGTCAGCATCATTTTCCTAGCTTGGTTTTCCTAGTGCAGTTGGTTTACACTGGGACAGGTTTAAAAAAAAATTGTAGCCTCAAACAGAAGAAAATTAAGTAGGATTCAGTCATGACTTGGAAACTTGTATGTGAAACAGATGTTTTTTAGTACCTGCTATTCAAGCTACTTCTTACCTCTTTGTCTCTCTGCTGCTGATATGCCTGGTTTTCATGATAGTGTGGGGAATTGCCAAAGCCTGGGACAGTTATTTCAGTTCACCACCCCTTAGATGATTATCCTAACTTGAGTACTGGTTAGGTGCTAGTGGGTAACAGTGGGAAATAACATAGGCTTTTATAAGTAGATAGGAGTCTAATGGATGTAGCTGATTTTGGCTTCACTACATTGCTAAGTACTTGGGAAAAGTGCTTAGTCTCTTAGCAGAAGTTTCTGTGTAAAGTGGGGATGATGATAATACTGCTTTTGCTAGCCTCTGCTTTTGTTTCACTCCCCATTCATATTTCTGTTAAACACTTCATTCTACAATCCTCAAATACAGCTCCAAAAGTATATATATATATTAGACTATATTTAGATATATGGAGATTTTTATAACATATTCAGTAGAGTTTTAAAAAATCTTATTTTTTTCTTTTTGTCAAAATTATTCATTCTCAGCTAGCAGTTTCCCTCTCTAATTCCCTTCATCCCTTTAAATTCTCTGTAATATTTCCTTAATTTTACCAAGCAGTTTTATTTTGCTAGGATGGCAGAGATAGATCATCTGGTTTTCCTGAAGCATGTGCTGCAGGTAGAAGAGAGGTTGGGCAAAAGAGCAAAGAGCATCTTGTCAAATACTTTACAAGATATATTTAAACTTTTAATACAGTAAACTTGTCCACATCAGGATTCTAGAGCACTTAACTAAATATTGATATGTAGAAGCAGCAGCACATTTTAATTAAAAACACTAATTAAGGGGCGGGGGATTTAGCTCTGTGGTTCTTCCACCTGCCTTGCAAGCTCAAGGATGTGAGTTAGATACTCAGTACTCCCCCCAAAATTTTTTTAGAAAAGTAAATAAAAACACTAATTAAAATGAAATATGTATGAAAGCGTTTATTAGTACATCTTTTAGGTATTTGGCTCTGCCAATGGTAAATCTAGCAAATAGTATACTATCAGCAGTTTGCACTGTACTGTGGGGTAAAGAAATGAATGCAGCCCTGGGATCCATGTTAAAATCATATTCAGGATATGAGGAACTTGGTCTCAGAAGGGTTTATATTTGATCTTTGTGTTAGAATTGGGAGCATTTGATAATTAAAGTCAGTGAGGTATAAAAAATGTTGGATCTTAAAATACAAATTATTCTCATTTGTTATTTTAGTATCCATATATTCCTGCACATATAACAAAGCCTAAGGAACATAAGAAGTTGTTTCTGGTTCAGCTTCAAGAGAAAGGTAAGTTATTTTGCTTTTGAAGGCAGTTATCTAAAAACTTTTGGAATGTTTTCAAGGATACCACCGTTGTGTTTTACCCAACTTCCTCAAATTTTTTGATTTATTACAAGAGTGAAAACATAACATGTTTATACAGAATTACCTAGTTTGTCTTAGTTGTGCCAGTCATGGTACAGGGGGTGAAGTAAATTTAACTGGAGCCTGAAATACCAGATGATAGCATTTTAAATAATTATTTAGGTTTTCTTCATTCTTTGAAGGTTTTCTTCGTTCTTAATAGCATGGATCTTTTGAGAGAATCAGTTTCAAATCTATGGCTTTCATCACTTCTTAGCCTTTTGGCTAAGATCAAGTGTAGTATCAAATCTATGGCTTTCATCTCTATCTTAGAAGACACAACTAAAATGTATTAATGAGAATTTGTCTTTTTCCTTAGAAGTTTTTCTCAAAGCTAAAACTGTTTATTAATTTTAAATAAAATGGAAAAAGTGATTATATGAGAAATTATAGAAAATGAATACTTTTGGTTTATTTTAGCCTTGTTTGCAGTCCCTAAAAATTATAAGCTGGTAGCTGCACCATTGTTTGAATTGTATGACAATGCACCCGGATATGGACCCATCATTTCCAGTCTTCCTCAGCTGTTGAGTAGGTATGTAAAGTTGAACATGTTTTTATTCATTCATATAAACTGTCAAATTCAAATTAAAGCCACTAGAGGAAGTTCATGAATTTTGATATTTAAGGAAACTAAGACACCTGGATTCTTAGGTCATATGTAAGCCACGAAAAGCAACTAAAAGCATTCCCAGATGCTTTAAGTTGTGGTATAATGTTCTGATATTTGTCTGACTGCTCTTCTCCAGATCTTATACTCTCTATAGTTAGGTCTTAAGTCTTTATTCAAAGAAAAAGTATAAAATATAATGTGTAAATATGAAGGGAGCCATATATATATAT